TCCCAAAAAGCTACTGGATTTCCCCCCATAATACCACATAAAACGACATTTTTTCCCAACGAAGGCGAAACCCCGCTCCGCATATAACCGTATTTAATAACCGGCTCATATTTCCACATAGTTTATTTGACTTTTTGCGAAAATGCATTTCCGCGGCAGTCGCCAACAGCCGCCGGCGTCAGTTTCGCGGGGGAAAAAGCCGTGTGCAGGTCTGCGTGGGTAAATATCAATATTTACACCTTTAATTAAAAACGCTAACAAGGTTATTTAGTATGTTGTAGGGCGAGGCAGCAGAGGGCCAGGAAATCTGGCAGGAAGTCAGAGCCGTGGCTGCCCTGCACTTTCCTCTCTTCGTTTATTTTCCCCCAACGTTCTGCCATCGCCAGGAAAAGCTTTTAAGCGAAAATGCCAAAATGAAAATGTAAAATTTATATTTCATTCACTGGTTTAAGTTTAAATTAATGCACTATAAGCGAAGGAGGTACATTTTGAATGGAAAATTGCTGGAATTGTAATATTTAAGGAGCGTTGAAATATTTTGCTGATTAATTAATAAATGTAAAGTATTTAGATAACCCTTCTGCTGAAGGTGTTGAAAGAACTACAGCCTAACAAGAATTAGTCATCCTTTCTGGTGACCCCAACTTCAACTCCCTGGGACTGCAATTGTGTGCCTAAAATATTTGTCAAAGTGCACGTGCCAACAGAAAGGGGCAGCTGCTGCATCGCCACCCACAGAGCGAGGTGGTGACATTAAAATCCTAACTCCGCTGCATGCTGTTTAATTAAAAAATGCCCCAAAAGCATTTACCCAAACCCAAAGATTGTAAATGGACAAAAAACCAATGCAACCAATGCCATTGATGCAGCGGGCACAAGGGGATGTGTGCATTTTAATGAAAACGGAAACCGAATAATCAGCAAGTGACAATCTCCCAGGGTGGCGGTCAAGCTCAGATGAAATAATACCACACGGTAAAAAATATTAAAGGTAAGAATATATGAAGAAGACAATAGAGATATGCAAAATTACTTAAATATTTCAATACCAAATTTTCGTAGATTTTTAAGACTAATAATTTACGCTGCTAAAAGCATCCCTTAGTTATTTTTGCCATAAATGTCTTAAGTAAAGCCTTCAAAAACACCCTTCAAAATAATCTTAAAAATATTCCTAAAAATTCCCAGTGTATATCTCTATAAAATAAGAAAAGTGCAACCCATGGAGCGTATGAATTTAATGATTTAATCGCAACCCCTCGCCCTTTAGATGCCACCACGCCTTGTTGACACTGCATGCGTGTCGGGCGAATTTGTCAAAAAATGCAACCGCCGCTGGCAGCCTCAGGGGAAATTGGACAAAGCCAAGTGGACTTGGAGTTCCGAAGAATCTAAAACCTGGGCCTGGAGGAGGGCGCTGCACTTGGCCAAGTTATTGACATTGTGTCTCTGTCAAATCCTGGCATGTGGTCAACATTTAAGTGTAATTAATGCCCGCGGCCAGCCGGCAGTTGCATTTCATCCTCTTCCGCCGAGGGACGATGGAATATGAAAACCAAATATTGCGCTAAATTTGATTAGCATGTCTGCCGCCCAGATTCCGATTGCATTTTTCGGTTTTATTTGTGCATCCCCAGCCTCGGGCAGTTATCCCCGCCGGAGTTGTGCTCTTCCGGTAATAGCTTTTTTGCTTTATTATTTGTTGAAAGATCAGGGGGAGTTCTTTTATTTAGGATATGTGTGGTTTTTTAGACATTTTTAAGCAATGCGGGATTTATTTACAAAATATAGCGGAAACTAGTTTGATAAATCCTAAAGGGATGTGTCTTCTTGGAGAGTTTTAAATTAGTTTTCTAATTTTCTAAAAGGATCTGTCTTCAGTTCGAGTTTTAAATTAGTTTTCTAATTTCTTTTCTATCTTTAAAGGGTCAAGAACTTAATTCCAAGACTTCTTTAATCTTTCAGGATCTTAATCCAACTTTGTTCTCTTTTCCCCAGAGATTATAGCCACTTGGCAGTCCCTTTTTTTCTTTACTAAATTTTCAATTTCCATTTTCTTCGAAGAAGGTTTCTAATCGAAAGCGTAATTAATAGTTTTCCATCATTAGAAACTTTCAAACACTTTGAACTCTTGGAAAGTATATGCAAATAAGCCATCAAGTTCAGTTGCCTTTCTGGGTTGATTTTCTTAGGCTCACAAATTGAATTTACCTTGGGTCCATTGAAAGGTTTTCCTTTTCCTTTTACTTTTCAGGGGTCTCCATTAACCCCTTCAAGTCCCGCGTGGCCCTTGACGCCTCATGTGTGTGCGGCATAATTACAGGGGACTAGCCGAGTTCTTCAATTAAAATTTATTAGGTTTTCATGGGTGGAGGAGAGTGAGTTTTACGAGTGTAAAGTGAGTCCTTTTTGTAGTTTGCGACATCGAATTGGCAAAGTTTATGACGCGCTTGCCTGCGGTTTGGTGCAATTTTTAATCCTTTGTGCCGCTGACAAGCCAATTAATGATGATTTGTGGTCGCTTTGTGTAAATGAGTGGAAATTGTATATTTCATTAAAAGATTGAGGAACTATATAAAACCATTAATGATGTAATTACTATTATATGAATATATTTGAATATATTTTTTATTAAGTGCCAAACTTGGCTTTAAAGCATGTTTGCCTGAAAAGGAACCCATTCTAAAGCTATTATATTAAAAAACAAACCCTCAGCTAGAGAAAAAATCGAACCCCCTCACACACTAAAGGCTCCAACACAAAAAAAAAGAGTAAAAACCCATGGCAGTCATAATGATGACACACTTACCACATAAACCGCACGCACCACATATAACCACCCACCGATTCCAGCCGAGAGTGTTGGTAGCAGCCAAGTGTGGCAAGGGAAAATCCCAGGACACCCGGGGAAAGTCCCGGAAAAGGGTTGGATTTCGGCTCTCGCAGCTCCAGAATTGCCACTAAAATGCACGCTAATGAGTTTCAATTACGACCAACTGACAAGATGAGTTCGTCCCATCTGAAACAGTTTTTATTTTTATTGACATGAAATCCCACCCAGCCTGTTTTTCGTTGTCGTCGCTTCTGTTGTCAATTTGCGTAAAATTCGTGTCCTTTTTTTTTGTGAGTGTTTGTTTGTCGCTGCTACTTTGATTGAAACTAAACGACGAGCTGAGCTGCAGCTCTGAAGGTGTGGAAATGGGCCCAAATAAGGGCTGGAGAGAGTGCTTGATTTTAATTAAATTCCCTTGCCCGCAAAATGCGACACAAGCAGCTGAGGCCGTTCTGGGAAACCTCGATGTCCTTTTGTCGTTTTGCTTAGCATCTGTTCGTCACTTGTCGTTGTGATTTTGACTGGTACTTCTACTAGAAAGGTATTTGGAATAATCTAAAGGATACAAGCTAATAATATAAGTTTTATTTCAATTTTAGAAAAGCAATTTGGTTTCAAAAAATAAGCAAAGGGAGAAGGATGTTAGCTTAAGATCCGGTTTTAAAAACTAACATGCTGTTAATGTGGCCTCCCCTTTTGTAGGTGTTAATAAATCTTAAATTTTATTTTTCATAAAAATCCTCATATTTTAAGATAGAGCATTTAAAACTTCGGTTTCAGGCTGCCTTATTTTTTGTTTAAATCGTTAACTTTTATGATTACAAGGGCCCGGCTTCGTTCTGTTGTTATTTGTGCTGCATTTCCCTCTCTGAGCTGTCGCTTACTTTGTGGCCTGTTGGCACATGTTACTTGCTAGAACGAGACTCTTCTAAATGGTTATGGCGCCGTGCATTTTAAATAATTAATGGCCGAGCTGAGGACGAGTGCAGCCAGGAGCTGGAGCTCAAAGCCAGGAGTAACAAGGCAATGGGGGCGGCGGCGCCACAAATGTAATAAAAATGTTGAGCCAAAAACTTTGGCCAAAGAAGCTAAAGAGATGTTTCCGACTTGGGCCAAAAATCGACTCCGACTGCATTTCAATTCCCAAACGATTATAAACTACCGACCGTTTGCAAATTTAATTTACAACTGCACAAAGTGAACAAACCGCAACAAGAGCCAGAGCTCCAGCTCGAAGCGAAGTTTTTACTTTGTTAAAGACGGGCAGAGGGCAGACTTTTATTTGCCACCTACACAGCAGGGTCGGCAACTTTGGCAACAAGGGTCAGCTGGTGCAGATGGAGCTCCTGGAATTAGCTGCTAACTGAAGGAAATAAGTACACTCACAAAAAATAAGTAAGAGTCTATTCTAATTGAAATTGAAACTGTGGAAACGGTTATAAAACTATTTCTTCTATTTTAATTTCAGAAATTTATCTTTCGAAAGAATAATAGCACTTAGTAAACATTTTTAAAATTCTTAAAAAAATACCCACTTATTTTTCGTAGTGTTAGATATTTCCAAAAACTCCTGGCAACAGGAAATTATGTTTATTATTACTTTGGCACACACAATTTGGACTCTACGAGTGGCCAAGTGCGTCTCCACTAACAATATGCAAATGTTCAGCAGCCAAAAAGGAGCCTCAACAGACTGGGAAAAGGAGTGAGTGCCGGAAAACTTCAAATTTAAATTAATAAGACAGGAGACCGGGATCGACCAGCTTGAGATGAGCTTCGTTAGACTCCTGGAGCAGCATCATCATCATCAGTGAAGGCGGCAGCTTTGGAGTGCACACTAAATTGCACTTTAATTGCACTTTAGGCGAGAGCCCGTGTCGTCGATGGGAAAAACTCAAAAGTTTTGTTTCCACTTTTCGGCCATTGTCTGAATGGGGTGCAGACGGGAAATTGGTGGTAATCATCATAAATAAGTGATTCAAATTAATTAAATTCCATTTTTGGGGACAAAAGTATTTTCCGGGAGTAAGGTAATCAAAGTTTTTGCCAAGAGCTCAGTCTTGGGAGTTGGGAAAAGGGATTTTAAGAAAATTTAAAGTGTCAAGAAAATATCAAAAGAGTTAAAATGGAAACCTGCTATTTTAAAGCAAGGCAAGGAATTTTTGACTTGGTTATGATCGGTTTTTATTTGATGCCATGATCCTATGGCAAACTGCAAGGGTATACAAATTTCTTTTTTCAGTTAGTGAGTTAGAAACTCAGTTCCACTTGGTCCAGTTCCAGTTTCTCCTCCATTGCCGGCACTTCCTTGCCATTATGCTTAATGCCCCTCAACCACTGGACATAATCTTCGGGGATGCCGGATTCCCTGGCTCCCTTGACCAACACCTTGAGATATGTTTTCGACGGCTGACGATCAAAGGGAATATTATTCTGAGCACCGCTGTCATGAATCTCCGTCTGGGGCTGATTTGTGAGGTGATAGGCGCGACAGGTAATGCTTGAGTCTGAAGTCAGAGAGTGGACAGGCACACTGATTGGAATGTAAACGCCATCGGGTACACTTTCCTGGCTGCAAAGAAAAGTATACAAAAATTAAATAAGAGTAAAGGATATTCTGGGAGACTTCCTACTCATCCAAATCTTTCAGATTGCACATATCTATCTCCCAAATGGCTCCATAGACATGGGCCCCCGGAGTGGGTACAATGGTGGCAGGAGCACCTAACCAGTTTTTAGATCCCGTGTGAAAATCCAGGCGATAGTTCTGTTGATATAATAATTTATAATTTATATAGTACTTTTAGTACTTTGTTATAATATTTTCTTACCTCCAATCGCCCGGCTCCTATTCTCTTGGCAGTTGGGTTTTGTATATGAATCCGACTGGCTAGCATATTGCTGCCAAAGCCGAAATAATAAAATTTATTGGCCATGCTTATGAGGTAGTTGGATCTGTAAATGATTTAGAAATGTAAATCAAATATACAATTTTTAAATATATAAATTAAAATAAGCACAAAGACATATATTTTAATAATTTAGTAACAGTTTTCTTGCCACTGTAAGCTGTTAAAAAACTAACAGTGCATTTCAAGCTGTAGAAATGGTTTTAAAAACGGCTAAAAACCTATTAACAAAAAAATAAATCTGATAAATACAAAAAAATATATAATTAAAATAAAAAAAAAACAAATTAACTTAATTAAAAACTCTGGTTAACTCAGCATATTTAATTATTTTATAATTATATTATCTACAAAAACAGCTGTTAGAAAAAGCTTCTAAAACTCTCTTGTCACCCTGCTCCAAATAAGCTTTTAAATTGTAAATCATATCAGCTGTTTTTCGCATGAATATTTCCTACAAACATATGCAGTTTTTCAATTTGGTTTTTTTTTATAAAAAATACTTACTTTTGCATTAATTATCACTGGTTTTAGCTTATAATTTAGCTTGTGTATTTGTACTTGATATTAAGAAATTTAATTAAAAAGGTACACGTGTCATTGTTTGTTTACTCAACTCGGGCCGACAGATGGAATAGTACTGAAACTGAAAACAATAAAAACATTGCCTTTTCTTTTCTTATCAGAGCTTTTTATGGTTTATGGTTCGCAGCTTGGATAGATAGATGTATTCTTTAGAACGGCTCTAAAACTGTTTTAGAACAACGGAAAGCAGCGCCCATAGATGTGGTTGAACTGCTTGCGAACTGCTTACTTTACACTGGGAGAATAAAACGTAGATTTTTTTTCTCTTTTCCTCAAGTTCAGAGAGTCTTATTTTCCAAGTTTGGGCAGATCTGTAAAGAGAAAATATTGGACATTTTGAAAAAATTAATTCAATTGATTTAATTTGGTTTACGCTCTTGGTTTTCTGCTACAATCAGAGCAATTATCCGTTTAATTTACTTTTATTTTCATCATTAAAAAACACCTTTAATACAGGAAACCACATAAATTCCCTTATTATTATAATAATTCTATTAAAATATTTTTAGTGGAAAATCATTCAGCCCCAGCTCTTTCTCCATTTCCTCGGACATGCGACCATTGTGCTTGATAGTTCTCAATCGATAGACGTAGTCGTTAGGCAGAGAGCTGTCGATGGCTCCCCAAATGATACTTCGGGTATAGGTCTTCGAGGGCCGGCGAGAATCTGGAATAGAATCTCGGTTCAGTTCGTACAGATTGCTCTCTGGCTGCTGGTAAGCAGGTAAGTGATGGCCGGAGTCAGCTCAGTCTCATTTTGCAGTTGCACGTAGACCGTGTGAGCCTCGTAAAGGCCACGATTCACGCCTTTCTGGCTATTAAAATAAATTATAAATTTTAAAAAATTAACAATAAGAATAATAATAAATTTTATTCTGTAATAATAATTACTTCTCAATCTCCACTTTCCCGCTGTTATCAATCTCCCAGAGACTGCCCCATACCTCGTCGCCCTTGGTGGGCACGATGGTGGCCAACGATCCGTTCCAGCGGCTCGACTGGTTGGCAAAGTCCAGACGGTAGTCCTGGAGTCGGGCGGGCCCTATTCTCACTGCCGTCGGGGTCTCCATGTGAATCCTTTTGGTAAACATGTTGCTACCGAAAGCAAAGTTGAGGACCTTGTTGGCCCTTCCTTCTGGTAAGGACCAGGAATAACCTCCTTTGGGAAGTACTACCAAAAGGCAGTGGATAAAGCCAATAAAATGCTTAAAATTCATTGGAAATATATTTGTATTGTTGTATTCTTTAAGCTGGGAATTCTGCTGAAGCGAGCTGCCTGCTAGTTAAACGGAAACTGAACATTTAGTTTAGTTTTAGCTAAGTGGAAAGTGACTTAACAATAACTAAGGGAAGATAATCTAAGGCGCTTTAATTAGTTATTTGCCTGATATTCAGTTTTAATACTGCAATTAGATTATTAGGTATTCACTTGGCTGACCTTTAACTTTAGATTTTAGGAATTCAGAAACAAAACCATTTAGCTTAGATTTTTAAAAAAAATGTGCATCTTCCTCAATTGGAATTATGCTTATCTAGGCAAATTCTATTGATTTTACTGAACAATTATAAAATTTTCAACAAAAACTGCTTTTGCTGATTTGTTTTTTTTTATTGGCAATAATTTCAGATGGCATTTTTTATGTATATTTTCATTTATTGTTCAGTTTACATTACAACAGAATGTCCTGTAGCTCCAGTTGTCTCTCCAGTTTGGCAGCAACATGACCATTGTGCTTGATGCTCCTCAGCCGCTGAACGTACTCCTCGGGAACGGAACTCTCGATGGCACCTCGAACTAAACACTGTAGATAGGTCTTTGAGGGCTGACGGGATTCTGGAATCAAATCCCTGGAAATTTCGTACAGATTGGTCTCCGGCTGCTGGTTCAGCAGGTAAGCGCGTGCAGGAGTATCCTTAGATTCATTCCTTAGCTTCACGTAGACGGTTTGAGGTTTGTAAATGCCCAAATGAACGCCTTCCTGGCTGCAAATATAAATCGGAGATGGTTTAATATATACAAGTTAAATTTTAGGTGCAATATTTACTTATCAATATCTGGCAGATTGCTGAGATCAATCTCCCAAAGTGTGCCCCATGCCTCGTCACCCTGAGTGGGCACGATGGTGGCCACCGCTCCATCCCATCGATTCGACTCAAAGGCAAAGTCCAGGCGATAGTCGGGTAGTCTAGCGGGTCCTATTCTTACAGCCGTGGGATTTTGGATGTGTATCCGCTGGGCCAGCATGTTGCTGCCAAAGCCAAAGTACAGGAACTTGTTGCCACTCACCTCGGGCAGGTCGGAAGTGCCATTGCAGTCCTGGCAACTCAGGTTGCTTGTTCCGCGGACTACACTGTGGCTCTGACCCTTGGGAAGAGCTGCCACCAGGCAGGTGACGAGACCGATAAGGCAGCGCTTACGATTCATTGAAAATATATTCTGAAGTGAGAATTCCGTTGACGCGATCTGGCGAGCGGTTCAGCGGCTACTGAGCATTCAATTTGCTTGAGCGGTTTGCCTGCCTCGGAAGATTCTCTACCTGTTCTTGGTATACATACACTATGTGATGCCGCATCTCAATTTTCAGATGATTTTAATCTATTTCTCAGCGATTTTATAAACAGAAAGAGCATAGAATTTATGGCTTGCTGCCAATGCAGGCTTATCTCAAATGCAAATACGCAATCTATTGTGCGTTAATCATATTTCTTATTCCGTTTCTTGCCTCACATATTTACATATTTATGAATACAATGAAAATTTAAATGTTTGACTGAACCAAAATGAAATTAGTGAGTGACATAATTTGTCAAGGTAGAACGACCTTTAAACTCAATGGCAAAAGATTTTTCTATTAAATGTAAATTTATTCTGATAATTATAAAAATTTTTGTAAATATAAGACGCTTTCTTAAATTACTTTATTATTTTTAAAGCTTAATCTATTTATTTTTATTAATTCAGTTAATTTACAGCTGAAAGTCCTGCAGTTCCAGCTCTTTCTCCTTTTCGGCAGCTATGCGACCATTATGCCTGATGCTCCTCAATCGCTGGACATATTCCTCGGGTATGCAGCTCTCGATGGCCCCCCGCACCAGGCACTGAAGATAGGTCTTCGAGGGCTGACGGGTTTCTGGAATCAGATCCCAAGAAAGTTCATACAGATTACTCTCTGGCTGCTGGACCTGCAGGTAAGCCCGGGCTGGAGTATCCTTAGACTCGTCTCTCAATTTCACGTAGACAGTTTGAGGCTTGTAGAGGCCCCGTACAAAACCCAACTGGCTTTAAATATAACTAATTATTTTTAAACACTTAAAATAATTTACTTACTTATCCATGTCTGGCAACTTGCTAAGATCGATCTCCCAGAGGCTGCCCCATACCTCGTCTCTCTGAGTGGGTACAATGGTGGCCACTGCGCCCTCCCAGCGGCTTGAAAACGAGGCAAAGTCCAGGCGGTAGCCGGGGAGTCTAGCGGGTCCTAATCTCATAGCCGTTGGGTTTTGAATGTGTATCCGATGGGCCAGCATGTTGCTTCCAAAACCAAAGTAAAGGAACTTACAGCCAATTACTTCAGGTAAATCTTGGATGTCTGAAGAACCCAGGCTGTGTTTTTGGCGATTGAAGATACTAAGCAGGGAGGCAACGACGCCGAGAGGGCGATGCTTAATCATTTATAATATAAATCAAAATACATTATATAAAATATAAATTCGGGCTGAAAAGTAATTTATCTATGAGGTTAGCCTGGCTTGGAAGTTACTCAGCTTGGAGGCAAATTCTTTTAATAACTTTTATTACCTTGACAAAATTTTCCAAGGTTCGCTGATATTGTGACAAAACTTACACCTTCCCAAACTTCGGACTGAAATAACAATACCCCGCAAAGCTATAAATATAAACAATACAATTTTTATATCGACTACAATTTACACAACAATTTCGTGTTTATAGCAAATGTTCAAAATCGAAATAAAACAAATAGGTAGCGATAGTCCCTAAAAACCGATTCGCCTGGCTTTTTAATTTTAATATTTGGCGACATGTGGAAGGGTGGCAGAGGGTTGAAAGGAAAATCGGAAAATCTGTGTCTGTTTGTTCGGTGAGCCACAGTGACAGGCGTTTGCTCTGTACGAATATGTACGGAAATATTTTAAATGATTTTTGCGATTCATTTTGTGGAATCCGCTGCATGTTTTTGGTGAATGTTTGTGTGGCTTGCGGCGGGACTTTGGCCAGTTTGCCATGGTTTCTGGCCAAAACCGAACCAGATCAGAGCAGGACAGGATAGCGACAGCGACAGGAACAAGGACAGCGACAGGAGTTGAATGCGCTAAGAGGCCTGACATGGTCGGTATGACAGCTGCACTTTTGTGGTGATTTATGTGTGTGAATTACAGGTGGAAAATTTGTCATTTTGGATGACTCTGGAAACCTTTTTTAAACTCATTAGAGTTAAAATTTAAATAATAAATTAAAACAAAAAAAATGTCAAAGAGAAAACCTTTCAACATCACATTTTATTACATTTTCCTTGCTTTTTTAGCTCACTTTAGATAAAGACCAACCTCGCCTCGACAGCCCCTCGAGCATGTCACTTAACTCGGTTAATTTATCGTACAACTTGCCGCAAATCATTCAATTGGCTGGCCCATCTTAGACTTGAAGGCCAGAAACAAAAACAGGCGCCGACATAAATATTCATACATGCGTAATGCTTTTCCCTGAAGGAGAAAGGAGAGAAACGACCTTACCCTCGACGAAATCCCTGTCATTGTCCCCGTATCTTGACTGATTTTCACGCACACATGAGCACAGGCAGAGCATAAATGATCACCATCATCATCATCCCCATTATCAGGCCCTTGTTTGTGGTCATTATCATCAGAGGTAGGGCAAACACAGCCATATATTTACTAGGAAAACATTACTATAACACCGCGCATATTCATATTCGTACTCGCATTGCGTGTAATTTGAATATGCCGCCAACGAAATGCCAACTGTGGAGTCATCATTTATGTTTTCCACCTGCTGCTAGTTTTTCTCATGTAAATATTCCACATCAAGTGTCTTTCGTTACATTCTCAGTCATTCAAATAGCAAAAAAAAAAATAAAATAAAATGAAAGGAGATAGGGGAAAAAACCAGTCACACACAGACAGCAGCCATATGATAAATGGATTTTCCAGCTCCGCGAACTTTGGATGTCGCATGCAGCACTTTGGCTGCCATTCCCCGTATGCTTTCCTCATTTAAAGTTTCTCGCGGCATACACGGCGTATACGTATTGGAATATCTGAATATCCCTGTGGATACGCATATTTTATGCTCCCGATTCCTTTGTGCTGCGAATCGGTCATAAGTCTGATGGCATCGCCAAAAGATGATAAATAACAGTCATTTCGGCAATGAATTTTGATAGAGTTTTTGGCTAAAAGATTTTAAATCAAGGAGGAAATTTTTAAGCAGCCTTTTTATGTGTAAAGAATAAGGTTTAATGATGTGTAATAAATCAGGTAAATTTTAAAAGACCTTCTTTATAAATTTATTCAATAAAATAAACTCCTTTAAATAAGTTCTGGTTGTGTTCTGATTTTTTCCAATATAAAATCAATTTTTTAACATTTAAATTAAGACTCACAGAGTTATAAGCTCCCCTTAAATTAAAGTCAATTAAAAAGCACTAATAAAATTGCAGATTAAGCAAATTAAACATTTAACAAAGCGTGAATTGATCAATTAACTGAAATGCCGCATTGAAGCAAATACCAAACTGCTATTTGCATTTCATTTATTTGTTGTTTGCACAGTTTTAATTAATTTTTAATGTTCAGGCAGAAAAAATACAGCTGAAATCGTGAAAATCATGAAAATCGCATTCAGATTTATGGCAATTTGCTGGTGAAAGTGGCATCCGAGTGGGTGTATCTATGGATTGAGTTTCCAACAAGGCCTAACACGAGTATGCCATTAAAATGATTGAGCCGCAAACCAAAGAATCCACAATAAACATCCGCCCAAATTGCCAAGTAAACGGATTAAATTTCCGTTTTTCGATATGCAAAGTGAAAAAAGCAAAGTTGGGACTTTGAATGCTCTGCTGAGCCAATAATTCCGATTCATTTATCTGGGTAATTTGTAAGGATTTTGAAATAGTTTTAGAAGAGGCAGGGATAATGTAGAAATTTATAGTCAGCTTGGGATTTGTTTAAGCTCTTTAGTTTCTTAATAAATACTTTTTATGTATTTACAAAAAATTATAGGTATTTAGTACAATTTGTTTCATTATTTAATAATAAATTTTCATAATTTTTGCTCTTTTTAAATTAAATTGATAATCCCTTAGTTAGGGTATAATTATGAGCAGAAAACACTGAAAGATTTCGTAATCAATTTAAGCGCTTGAAATATCAACAATGAGTGAAGAACCTTTGGCAAGTCACGTTGTTTGATATCTGCCAGAGCACTGGAAAGCTCCTTGATATGTGGTCTTGTCACAGGGAAAACTTTTCGGCAGGTTCGCCATCCAAATATTTGCTTGGGAAATTCGCCAGCACGAGGAAGCGAGAAACGGCAGCCGCCGCCACCACATGTGGCAAAGAAAATATGTATATTTTTGTGGCTTAACGCAAAATATTTTCTTACTTTTCTTTTTTGTGGGCCAAGAAAATCCACAAAGACGCCGGTGATGTAAGAGTTCAAGTGTGTGGAACATGGAGATGACCTCAACTGAACTCGGTTTAGCAATCAACGTCACTTCAGGTGAAAAACGAGTGTGTCTAGGGGAAGTATTTCCATATTTTCATATTTTTTTTAACTCCACAACCAATAAATTTAGGATGCCTGCTCAAATTGCATTTTAACAAGCAAACAGGTGAAATAGGAATTTCTCTTTGGAACACTTTAAAATAGAGTAAAATTCATGGAAATTAAATTTAAGTAATTTAAATTTCAAAAAGAACTGATAGAGGTTCACATTAAGATGTCGAAAACCACAAGCTAAACTGGTTTGTTTGTGATTTCTACGAAAACTCTTGGCCACAACGAAAACTATGATAAATGCACTTAAAACATAATTTACTTAATGGGGTATTGAAATAATGATATATAAATTAATTTTTTATAAACAAAGTATTTAAAGGTTATTAGATTTTATTCCGACTCATTGTTTCGGTTTGTATGAATTTATTATTATTATTATATTATTATTTATTATTTGTTATTTATTATTTTAAATTATTATAAATATTAGTATGGAGAAGTACGGAGTTTCAACGATTTCTAAGCCATTTACAATAGATTTTTCTTATCCTTTTAACAATTTATATATTTAAAAGCTTTGCTCAGTTCTTCTTTCTCTAAATTAAAAAGAACAAAATATATTTTGTCTTCAGCGAAATCGTTTCTTCTCCAAGTGAACTTGAACAAAAGAAAAGTGAAGCTTTGACAAAAAAGGAAACTAAATTAAATTCAATTTTAAGTCAACTCAAGTTGAAAGCATCACGCATACGCAGTGTTCGCCAGATTCAGGACAAACCAAGCTCATCCAGTAGAGGTTTGACGCCACATCATCGTCAAAATCAGGCAACTCATATCGAGGACAGCTCCATTATTAACCAGCAATAATTGCTTGACAAAGTGGACCACAGCCGTTTTGGCCGGGTGGTCGTCGCTGGGCATTGGTGCTACCGATGATGAGGCCCAAATAGATCAGAAAGCAAGCTTTTAAGACGTTCATGTTTTTTAATATACTTACTCTTTTTTTGAAATCGAAACTCCTATTTATACCGGATCTGTGATTTGTCTAGAGTCATGGCAATTAAGGAGTGTAAAATTCAATTTATTTGGTTTTTAAAGAGCTAATTACTTCCGTAAGTGCTTGACCTTGGCGTATACTTGATGTGGGAGAGATCGTGAATAATATAGGGATTTCAGGTTATCCCTGAACCAAATGAAATCCAATTTAAAGTCAACTCAATTTAAAAGCATCACGCATACGCAGTGTGCGCCAGATTCAGGACAAACCAAGCTCATCTAGATGAACTTCAATGCCGCATCATCATCATAATCAGGCAACTCATATCGAGGGCAGCTCCATTATTAGCCAACAACAAAGTGATAAACTGCTCGACAGCCGGGCATCAGGGAGTCAATTATATAATGATGCGTCGATGTTGATGTCGATGCGGAGGTTGTTGTTGCTGCTCTGGCAGTTTCCCCTGACAAGCTCGTTACAATTTATGTTTTGTTTGTATTTCTGGAAACGGCTAGGGGCGTCAGGGAGTCAGGGAGAAGTTCGGGACGCACTAATTTGCAACGGCATTCAAACGTGGCTGCAACTCACTGATGCCCAGCCCCAATTGGTTTTGCTGCCTGTCACAATAGCTGTCACAGTTTGGACATTTGTCGATGGCCATAAAACAGAAGCATAAATATTAGATCGCTTGTTGACCGAACCATTACGATATATCCTGCCTGAGGTGGATAAATGGAGTGGTGGAAATTTATTGAAATACGCAAGGCAAACAAACACAAACGTTTCAATTGGTTACCTACGGATTAGATAAATACTCACAACGAAGTAAACAACAAAATTCTATTGAAATTCAGAGTAAAAGAAAATTAAAATCCCGCTTAATTTTCACTTTTTCAACTGCAACATTTAACCAAAATCGTTTCACTTATTTTGACATTTATAAAAAACGCCCTTTGCCACATGGCATTCTGCAAACTATAATGGAAATGTAATGGAATGCAAATATGAAGGAGAAAAAATTAAAAAATAATCAAGCGGAAAGTTCACTCAGTAAATAAAACGTTCATGCCAGTGGCAAACAGAAAAAAGCATTTTATTGGCTGTCCGTAGATTTGCCCACAGGTGATAATAAAAATTTGTAATAAAATCTGTTAACTGATACCATGCAGTGCAGGACCCGCACAGAAGTGCATTAAATCTGGTTTTAAGTTTCCCCCCGTTAGCAGCCTGTCTTTTCAGCAAGTTCTCTCTGCGCGGAAAGAAGCCCCTTGAAGGCCCGTGTTTACATGACTGCAGTCGCGGCTGCCTGCAAAATTAATAAGCCTTAACAAGTTGGTTTATGCCCCTGCTCCTGCTTGTTCGGGCTGAATTAATTAAGCGAGCGAGTGGGAAGCGGAAGCGGAGGAGTGCATCCTGGAAAACTTCACTTTTAACCAAGAAAAATCAACGAAGATGCTGCCACAAGAGCTTAAAAGAAATCCTTTTGAAATTGTATATCATATTTTATGCTCTTGAAATATATTTTTTTATTTATTTAATTTTTACTTTGACTTTATTAAATAAAACCTAGACACCTTTCTTAATAGGGCAGGCAGGTGTGACGAGCTTCACTGTAGTAGCGTCTAGGACCACAGGCCTTGTCCCTGGTTGTCTCTTGCCGGGTGGGTACCTGGGCATTGGTGCTGCCGAAGACGAGGCCCAGGCAGATCAGAAAGCAGGCTTGTAAAACGTTCATGTTGTTTGATATACTCTTCTGTGAATTTGGAGCTCCTATTTATACCGGATCTGTGATCTCAAAGCCAAAAATCAATCAGATTTGCATAGAGACATGGCAATTTAGGGGTGTAAATTAAATTTATTTGGTTTTTAACGAGCTAATTACTTCCGCAAGTAATTGACCTTGGCTAACTAGGCGTATACTTGATGTGGGAGATCGTAAAAGATATAGTGATTTCAGAGATTATAATCTGCAAATTTAATTTATTTAAATTTAAAAATATATTTCTCTCTTTTAAATACTTTGTGAATTATTAAAGTACACTTTAAATATGGCAGAAGACAGACAGCAAATTAAAGCAGCGGCAAGGAGATGAAAATCGGAAAATCGGTAGACTGATTACTGTTGCCTGGAGCTTACATGGGACATAATTACCCGGCACAGTGGTTAAAGGCATTCGGCGAAGGCCAAATGAGCCTGGAGTCGGGCATGTGGGTTGATCCGCCTCCAAAAGTGGGCCATTATGCGTAAGCCGATATCCTCTCTCTCTCCCCCTCTTCCTTTGTTTGAAAAACGAAACTTAAACCTTAAGTTTTTAACTTGAACTTTTGCTGAGTGAATAACATTTGTTCGGGCCAACTTTTGGGGACTCCTCCGCTTTGAATTCAATTAATTAGGCAAAAGCGAGGCCAGGGAAGCCGTCGGAAGTTGCTTTATTTCGGCACGTGATAAATTAATTTAAGCCAGAGTCGAAGGCGTTCCGTATAATGTTTTATTTTTATTTTTTTTCTTTTGCATACACATCGCGAGGTGCCATCAGGTGGATCATTTCGTGGGCAATGGTGGGGTGGCAGCTTAGCTTATCGAAGTGGGCGTGGCAACAACTTAATTACGCTACGCACGGCAGCTAATTGAGTTCATAGCCTAGCGAAAAATAAAACGCCATTTGGCTTGGCATTGAGTCGGAGTTTCGCTTTTTGGTTTGGCAATTACACGCAATTTTCATGGTGGAAAAACAGTGGATTGAGAGGAATACAGACAGTAGATTTGGGAATTTAAACGAATGAGTTCAAGTCTTTGAGATAAAAGTCTAAATTTCAAGTGGAAAATTCCAAAAGCTAAGTAAATTTTAAAAATGTTTTCTAAATTTATAATTTAAACCTAATTTCTTTAAGTAAAAACCACTGTATTATCACCTTGGAGGACGTGCTTTGTGAGCTTTGCATGTTTATAGTCCTCCCAAAAACAGTTTCCTAATTGCCAGAATATTTGAATGGCGAGCAAACAGTTGGCCAAATCCATTTGGCCCAAAGATGGTAAACTTTAACCTGACCCAGACCTAGGACTTTGGACTCTTGGAGCGAACCAAAACGAACCCATCTCAAGGCCTGCCTTCACTTGCACTCCTGACAGCTCAATTTGCTCGGCTTTGCTGCTATTTTCGCTGGTTTTCGGCTCAGACTCGCGCCGACAGTAATTATAACTTGGCTGTAATCTGCGTATTAATCTCAGTTTTCTTTGGCCAAAAACACAAAGAAGGTTTTCGCCGGCTGTTGGCTCAGTTTTCAATTTTTTTTGTTCACCCACCGTTTTGAACATGAAACAAATGCCAGGGAATTTATTTAGTTTTCGTTGGTTGCTTTTGTCTAATTTAGCACTTGACACGGAATATTATTAATTGGTCTAGACCAGCGCGAGACAAAAGGCATACAACTCCTTGCTGAAAAAGGCCTTAATGAGCCATAAAACTAAATAAATAGTTGAGACCTTGGGCAGGGATTGGTAATATATTCGGAGAGGTTTCAAAGGTAGGCGGGAATAACTAAGAATAAGCAAAGATTTAATTGAGATTTTATTTCTGTTATAAAAGGTACTTTCTAATCAACTCTTTCTTCGGTATTTTTAAAATTATCATTAACCCTTAATTTACCTTTAAATAATCTCCAAATAATATCCAAATTATTCTAATTTCCAAACAATTTGCTTAAAAATGTATAGAACACTGAGGCTGTGCCCCATGATAATGTCCTGGATTAACTCAAGCGTATGTAAATCGCTCCGACAAGAGTCTAGACCCCAGACATCACACGTGTCAGCCACGCACGAGCTGATGTCAAGTGAAATCAAGTCGCCATAGCTTATCCATCCGAAGTGCCATCGGTTCAAAGACCAGACCCATTGGCCAAGTACTTAATTAGCCAGCGAGGCCTTGTGGCCTGGTGTTAACCTCCTCCCCCCTCACGAGGTGTCCCGACTGTAAGTTCACCCTGTCAAGTTCAGGGCTCTCTGGCAGACTGCACCCATGTAGCTTGACAACTGCAACGCCGCTCAGCTGACACATAACCCCTTGTAGTAGTACCTCCTGGCTCAGGATCCTGTCCATCAATGTCAGCTCGTAAACCACTTGACTTGAATTTCATTATATTAAAACTTAAAAATGTGATGCAGGCTGATGTATGGCGGTTATAGGTGCTTGCTTACATCCCACTTTAAAGGATTAAATGCCTTAACTGTGAGGCTAAAAAACATGTTTTTTTATTACTTATTAAATGAAAGATTTTACATACATTTCCTACAAGTTAAAAGGAATGTAAAGAGCTTAGCTGTTTGTGATGTCAAAGCTGAACTTTTGCCGTTATGAAACACTCTGGAAAACGACTTAAGCCTCTTTATTTTCCCCCATCTTCGCTTCAAATGTTTCCTATACCTTTGTGGAAAACCATTTCGTTTATCAAAAGGGTCCACACAATGCCCCTAACTATGTCAATGACGAGTGCCATGTCACATGCCCCTTCGTTACCATTTTTGGCAACTGAAATTCCAACCCGTTAGGGCTTCTACTTCTGCTCGTTGGTTGTTTGAAATATCACAGACAATTAAAAAGTTGCTGCCATCAAATTTAATGCTTAATTTTAGTGGACAACTTTCAGCCTAATTGCTGTTGTTATTGTTGTTGCGCTACTACCTGCCGCTTTGCTAATTTATGCGTCACAAAAGGACGCAGTCGGGATATTCAGGTGACATCTAATTGCATTTCGCAATGGAGTCGTCCGAAAAATATCCACATAGAACGTGCTGCGGGCTGACGCAACTTTTTGCCAGCTCTCCAGTTTTAATGAGTTGAAGTTGCCGCAATTTTGCGGGTTCACGTGAAGTGGCAGGTAGGTGGGTTGCTTTGGGTGGGTGAGGCGACTGTACTGAGTGGCTGTGGGGCCAAAAATTCACCTGCGTGGCATGCGGAAGCCGCAAATTGGCTCGTGTGGTCGGCTTTGTTAATGTCTCTTGTCGCCGAGTTCTGTCAAATTGAATCTTGAATGGCACAGCATTTTATGGTGATGTACTTTTGATGGCAGTGTGTGATTTGGTCATAGGTTTGATGTGCTTTTTGTAGGGTATTTCTGAATGTATACACATAACTGTTAGGTCCTTGGAATTTTGTGGCGAAAAGAAGATGCTAAGATCATTCTAAGATTCCAAAAGAAACAAATTGAATTTAATTTCATAAAATATTATTTATATGAATTAAAAATCCCAAGGTTTTTGTCAGTGCAGGTAAAAAACTTTTCCTGTTAAACCCCCTTTCAACTGCCCCATCTTAACCCCCTTTTTGCCAGTTGAATTGGCTGCTAAATCATTCAATTTTTCCTGGCACTCAACGTGAATTCATCGGACACTCGACTATTTATTCCCAATTATTATTTAAAAGTTGCCAACCTCAACTGCTGGTTTGACCAAATACTGCACTGATAGTATCCAGCAGATCCCCTTGGTCCTTTCACCAGTAAAGACTGCTGCTGGAGGCGAAAAAACTAATAAAGCTGCTCGTAGTGGATTTATATAGTTTCTGATTTTTGGTTGCCAACAGCTTTCCGTTTATTTTGTTGATTTAATAAAGCCAAAAGCTCATTAGGACTGAAACAACACAGCAACTCTTCTCAGTGGCTCCCTATTATTTGTGTGTTTCAGTTTTAATTCCAAAATGTTTACCTTCTGTTCAAGTGGGGGGAAAAAGCATTCTGCTAATGCCAAAGGCAGAATACTAATCCTTTTGCCATCGACTGACCAGCTCTAATATTTAGCCTGGGCACTACTTCACCTAAGGTAAGGTATTTGCATATGATTGTGTTTTATGAGACCGCATTCTGCCTTTGTCAGCAGTCCTTCTTCAACTCGAATGTGTCCCAGCCAGGACCAGAAAATTTATTTCGATTTTACATTTGCGGGGAAACTCATTGAAAGCCGATATCTATGGATTTGCGGAGCAGGAAAATACCCATCTTGTGGCATGCAACATTTGTCAGGCCGAATGCCGAGTACCAAATGCATTTATTCAGATAACACACACAAGGCACATACCAGACAATCCCGTAAATTGCAGCAGCTCGAACTCGAGGTGCTTCAACATTGGCAATCACAATCACAACAATCACAATGTGATTGAAATGGATCCCGAGTTCTGTCTCAAATTTACAGATTTTCTGAGGGAAACCAGAACGCATGCCAGGAATTCGAGTATGTTTGAATACCTCTCATTCGGTTGAAGGAAATATAAGTTGGAAAATGCACTGGGAAATTATTTTATTAGTAAAATATTTATTAAAATTAATACAAATATTTGTAAATATTTTAAAGGAAACCTTCTTGTTTCTTTAAACAAAAATATTTGTATTCACCACAAAAAAATGTTTAAAATCGCATCCAAACAAAATAAATCTATGATTTCAAATAATTTATATAAATACGGCTTCAAAAAGCTAATTCCCTGCGAAGTAGAACCCTGCAAAATTTGTCTAGACTCTTCGACTCCCTGTAGACCAAGGAGTCCTTGACTCTGGCTCTGCTCCTTCTCGAATTTCTCGCCGAAGCAATCAAAGGAATCTCCGCTTGCGGCCTTTTGACACCTTGACGCCTTCCTCCGTCGTCCGGTCTTGCACCTATTTTCTAATTTTCCTGCTGGCAAATTCAATTAGTTCCGCCTGCCTCAGTTGGCCTGAATGCCGCTCCCCTTGCCCCAATCAATTCCCATTTATTCGAGCAACAATGGGCGGCAGTGAGTCGAGGTCGAGTGTAGGAGTGGACCTCTCATTATGCTGTCGGCTTAATTATTATTTTGACATCGCACCGGCTGTGCATTTAATTACTCGAAATATTTCCATCGCAACGCGGCTACCGTAAGTCGCTAACCTGGCCAGAAGAGTAAATCTCAGGCCGTGTCCTCTGAGACTCCTCCGGCTTCCTTATAAAAACGAGCTGAGCAATTGCCTTGACTTTGGTGTTTTTTGGTTTACTTTGCAGGACTTTATTGTTGTTGTTTACTTGGCGGTTCCTTTTGTTTCCCTTTGATTTTGTTGAAACGAAAATTTTTGCGAGAATTCTATTCCCCTCTGCGTGCCAGTGCTAAGCCTTTTTTACATTTCGTATTTATTTTAGTTTGAAGACCCCGGAACATGCAAAAACCGTATAAGTGGAAGTTACTTTTCGGAATGCGAACAACTGCCCCAAATTCGAGGCAATAAAACAACAGTAAATAAAACCTAAGCACAACTTTCGGGAAATCTGAAATAACGAAAACTTTGTGGGTTTGGTAAATAAATAGTATAAAACTGGGAATTGGAAAATAAATGCTTTGGAAAATAATTACAGGCGAAACTGAAACACAAACAATAACTATAAATTGTTAACTTTAATTGTTGTTTTTCAAAATATAAAAATAATAAAAGGAGGCTAATTTATCACAGGAATATATCTAGGGAAACTCCTTTACTTATACCTAATTTTCTCTTATACCGCTTTCCATTTGAGCTTGTATTTAGAACCTTCTGAGTATCCTTTATTTCATGCATATTCTTCATTAGGAGTCCTTTTGTCTCTAGGAGCTTATAATTAAACATCAAAAGGCCTAACCGCAGAAAAAAAAAATAAAATGAGTTACTCCACGACTCCACCTTCTGTTTCTGTCCATTCATCAGGATGGCCATTTGTGTCCGAGACTGATGCCGGCGTTGTTTGGCAAATTAACAACATACATCATTGACCTGTAATCCGGCAAACAGCAGACCGGTAGTCTCATCCGTATCCGTACTTAAGGCCGGACTCGATGCCAAGTTGTCGGCCGCCGTCCGGCGTTTGTTATATCCTGCGTTTTAGTTTTTCCCGCATGTTTGGCAGAAGCAAAGGGAAAAGCTTGAGTAAAAGTGGAGAAAGTGGCTTGGAAAATACCTTTTAGGAAATCTATAAAACTATATTCTATATTCTTTTAGACTTTGAATATAAATTTGATATCTAGACAAATATTATATAGGTAACAAAATATAAAATAACATTTTTAATATAGCTTCTCTTAATTTTCTTTAATTTTTCCAAACATTTTCAAAACTTCAGCCTTTGCCCAATCTCATCTACCCTGCAATACCCAACATCCGGATCTCTCCAGATGAAAAACAAAAATGTTAACAATATGTTAACCCAAGCGGAAATATCCCTTAGGAACAACACGAATTCTGACATTGACAGCGAGTGTCTGACTTTCGTTTCTGCCGAGAAATAATAGTAGAAAAAAGAGCACAAAAAATATATAGAAAAAGCAAAAACCATTTTCAGCCCGGGGCAACGACTTGAGATGGCTAGAAAAAGGCGGAAAGAATGTGTCAATAATGACTAATGGCCAATTCCGGATCCGGAGCACTCTAAGCTGCCCCGTTCTGGCTTGGAAGCTGGAATCATGCTGGCCACCAATTCCTATTTATTTTTGCATATTTTTGCGGACTTGCCATTTTCGGGCGGCGGCTCATGATGTCAAAATGATTTGGGCCTCACCTTTTCCCCCAATTCATCGAGGGCCGCCATAAGTCCCTGTTGGGTTTCGTTTTTAATTTAAAATTCACAGAAGACGCACAGAAACTTTTTTGGCCGAGCCGCGTGTTGACCCAATTTCGTGACGGATTCATTTGGCTTTAAGATACATTTTCTTTTTTGTGATTTTCTTTTTCCCATTTGCATGGGACTAGTAGCTGTGGGACAGAGAGCAAACATTTTAATTAATTTGAGCTTAAACCAGTCTGTTTCAGAGGAGATTTCCACAAGTGCAAGTTTGGTAATGGAATCGGGCATTAAAAGGCGGAATTTGTTACCAACACAAGTTACCGCAAAGTGAATAAAAGTTGAGACATGCCAAGCTCACTTTTCTCAGGGAAATTACTGCTTTCTTTCCTTCACTTGAAGTAGCTTTCTTTGTATGGGAAATAAATCTAGGAGCTCCTAGAAACCTCTCTCACTCAATTCCCCCTCCCAGGGTTTCTCTCTTAGCCGTAATTTAAATAAGGCTAGAGCTATTTTTCCGGGAAACCATTGCACTATGGGGTTTTTGACCACTTTATGTGGCATTTAGTCATTTTTTAAAAGTTCTTAAATTAAAAAAAAAATAGTGGGATTGTATTAACAAAACATCGAACTGTTATGCCTCATACTCAAAATGTTAATACTTAACAGCATATGTTAGCAACAGAGCTGTAAAGTCAGCTGTTGCATCCGAAAGCGCGTCTGCTAAGTTTGTAATTTTTACGAAGTGATCTTTGAAATTAAACTATTCGTGTAAGACACAATTTGCAAAGGAAAAAACTAATGGACACTGATTTCACAGGTTTTAACTACATGTTAAAGGTATTAATTGTTTAAATTGTGCGTGTTTATACTGACATTTTGTCATTTTATAAATGCACCTTAAGCTGAATTTTGAGAAACAAATTTAAACTTTGGGAAGAGTTTTGAAATAGAAGTTCGCATTAGTTTTCAATGCGTCCAAGTGTATGTTGTAGCGTTGTCAATTCTGAGTAAAAAGCAGTTAGTCTTATCGTGCACTTTTCCGCACTTTTGTTGCAATTTGAATTTTTCTCAGATAACCTCACTGTTTTCAGAGCCAATTTGGTAGCTGTTTGTATGGAAAAACACTGATTTCCGGTATTATGGTTATTTTGGTTCCTAGGGAAAGCGTTGTCCGATTTTGTTCAAAATTGCTATATCGTGTTAAAATAGCAACAAATATAAGCTCCTTAAATTTCATTAATTTATCTTTACTTTTACCCGATCGTTCCTATGGGAGCTATAGGATATAGATTTCTGATCCGAACGATTTTCATACTATATGTGCCTAGGGACAAATAATGATGATTGGTAAAGTTTCATGTCGATATCTTCAAAACTGATCGAGTTATTAATTAATGCCACAAAAACTGGTCAAAAACCCCATAGTGCATTGTGACAATCATTGGTGCAAACACAAACACATCATTAGGTAAAAGTGAGCCACAAATCGAAGCTCTCGGTTTTTCCAGCACAAACAAAAAATAAGTAAAACACGTGCCTGTTTTACTTCAGTTGTTTCGGATAAAAATAAAATCTTGTAATTCTTTGAGGTCCTGCAGCCGCACAATTATGGGCCTGCTCATTGCTGTTGTCGCCAAAAAAAAAAAAAATGGAGAAAAATGGCCCAAGGACACTAAAGAAAATTCCGAAATGAAACTAAAGAGGGAAACCGGAGTGGACCAGATGAGGAGGCATAAATAACTGTGTCCGCACAAAGCAAACAGAAATAAAAGCGAGGCAAACACAACAAACTCAAATTACTTGGCTTGGTTTGAGGCGGGAAAGTCCCGAGTTCCGAGTTCCGTGCCCCGAAATGTAGGCAACTAATGTTGGCAAATGTTTGTCTGGGTTTGACCAGGTTTGCCTTCCATTCCATTCCCAGTCCTGCCAACTATGCAGGTGGCACCCTTCCGGTGAGTGTGTGTGTGTGCTCTGGGTAATTAATGTTTTCCTACGGCTTCACAGGTTCGAAAGGAGCAGTAGGAACCGGAAGTGTGAGCCCAAAAAGTTTGGTCCAACAGGAAATTGTTATTGTTTTGTCGCCTTAAAATAGCAAAGATATGTAAGAGTAGAGTGCGTAGGTAAGTAAAGAGAATGGTAGCCAAGATACCTCGCAATGAAAATATATATTCTCATTTTACTTAAATATAATTTGGTTTTATTTATAGTTCTCTTTATATTTTACTCTCCAAATTACCTAGAATAATAATAATTTCTCTTAAATTTATTCTATTCCATCATACCCCACTAAAGCAACCCATCAATGGGTATGTGCGCTCATGAAAACAGAAAGTGAAAGCGTTTGTGTGTGCAATACTGAAGCGAAGCTGACCGCCAGCGGGATATCCCTGCCAGGTCATTGACTTGTCTCCTAGTCCTTTCATTTTCCCCATCCTTTCTGTGTTTGTATGTGTGTGTGTGTGTGGATGGGTAATTAAGATGCTATCTCAAGGCGTTGAAATTCGAGACGAAAAAACGATTTCTTGTTTGTTGTTGTTTGGCTTTTGTGGCTTAGTAGGCAATTCCTAAACCCTGATGATTTTTCCGGGAATATCCGGGAACCCCCGGAACTATGGCTTAAAGGGGACATTTCCAGAGGCCTCTGTGGGGTGATTGCCTATTCCCGTCAGCGTGCCATATTTTTCAATAAACGCAATTGACACCCACTGCCAGCTGGGCGACGAGGGAGTGCCGCACGGCACTTGAGCCAGCGGCTACTCAGCCTGAGACGAAGGCTCTCTGACAGTTTCCCGGGCAGGGGCTAATTTACGCCTTCAATTTGTACTGGCCAGGCACTTGTTATAATTGATGGCCAGTCCGGGACAGATGTTCACTGAGAAAAACATATTTAATTAACCGAGAAAATTTCGGGAAATAAACTTACCTAGCCAAGGAGGCGTATACGTGATGTGTAAATAATATTAAATAATAACATTTAATTTTGGGGGTGGAAAAAAAACTTGATTACAGTGTAATAACAAAATAATATAATTTGTTTAACAAAGAAAATTGATTATTTATTTGTAATTTAAAAGTAAAGTCGATACATTTGAATTTCTTCCATATACAGAATGATATTTTTTAATCAAAACAACTTAATCGTTTCGTTTTTCCTTCAGATATTTGTATTGTGTTCTTCCTTTGTTCATTTCTTCGAAATTATATATGGTACTTCATATTTTTAGGTTGTGTATTTTGAATTAGAAAAAATCAAACAAATTGTGGTATCGAATTTCCAAAACTCCACCCAGAAGGCTCTGAAAATAAAATATATTAATATTATAAAATTTAATATTAAAATGACTACAGATAAATGATAAAGATACATGTATATTTATTCTTTTATTCATCAACTTACCATATCGACAGGTCCGAAGCTACGACTAACACGTAGTATAAATGGCTTTTCAGACGGAGGTCGAAGAGTACTTAAGGCAAGGACAGCTTCCATGACTAGGTCGCTGTAGATCCGGGGGCATCCGAAAAGATCAAGATCACGCAATTTTTTGCATCTAGAAATCAACGTCATGGCTCCACGGTTGGACAAGCCCGAATTCTGCAAGATCAACTTCTCCAGGTTCTCCAATTGACTTAAATAGTCCATGAAGTCATCTCCTCCCACCTGACAATCGAGTTTCTTCAGAGCCTTTAGCTTCATTATTACCCCAAGATCATCAGTATCGATGATTCGACGAATTTCTGTGCAAAAACGCAGAGATTCCAAAGTTTTGCCATAATTGGAAGCCGATTTTCCAAATACATGGGTGAGATTCATGCGTGGGGCAATGCTGTCAATGGTCAAATATTTAAGACTCGGCAAGTAGCGCAGCGGCGTCTTGAAGATCCCATAGTTGAATCTAAGCATATCGATTTTCGGCCACAATTCACCATGATTTTTGGGCACGCGAATAAAAGCGGACTTAAACTCCAGTGAATCAATGTTCTTCAGGGGGGAACAGACTTTAAAAATATCAGCAGATTCCTCTTTCTTGTTCATTATAGTCAATTCCGTCAGATTGACGAGTTTGCCAACGCTCTCCCCTAAAAAGGGATCCAATTTTAGTAAGATTCGATTTAATTTCAGCTTTCAATACTTACAATCTTGACGGTTGAACCCGACTAACTGCAAGTTCTTAAGCTTGGGCATTTTCAGCAGTGTATCAACCACATTAGCCTTCTCAAAATTGTTCATTAGCCCAATCCAAGTCAGATTTCGTAGAGTCAAAAGCAGCGACTTGATTTGATTCCAGGAACTGCTGCGAACGGGAAAGAAAAACTCCTCCAGGTTGGGGCAGTGCTTGGAGGCCAGATTGACCACAGTCACGGTAGTGTTCACCGCTGTGGTCATGATCCTGGTAACGGAGGATCCACACAGCGCCAAAATGTCCGACCACTCCCCGAGTGGTCGTTCAGCAATTTCGATTTCCTTGAAAATACCACCGACGTGAAGGGCGAATGCCTTTCCAAGAACGCAATGGGATTTGGCCAGATTGAGCTTATCCTTCATTTCCGGAATGTACTTGTAAACCAAATTCAAAACCTCCTCGGGAAGGTTAATTATAGAAATATGGGATGACATCTTTTTCAGTTTTGGATCAAGAAAATTCGAAGCGATGCGAAGCCTTTGAAAGTTGCACAGTAACTAATTCCGTTTCATCCAAAACCCATGCCAAAGCTGCCTGCCTTTCAGAAAATTTCTTTGTAAACACCAGATCAGTGCAGTCACATTTTAAATTTTTAGCTAATTTAGCTACTTTTAGATAGAAAGTATTTTTTATATTTTTGTTATAGCTTTTTTGTGTTATATTAAAATTTGTATTACCTTTTTTTCCACTTATATGTATCGTATCTTCTCTTTCACATTTGTAATAATTTATATATGTATGTATACTGAAGACTATGATCCTAGAACTCCAAAATACTAATTGTTGAATTCATATTTAAACTTAGGGGTATGCAAAAAAAAAAGAATCATGTCAAAAGCTAAATAAATAATATAAAATTGTTTAATATGTTTCACGAAATACCATTATTTTTTTATTTTATTTGTATTGTAAAATAATTAAAATCAAAACATTTGAATGTCTTCCATAAACATACATGTACTATTTTAACAGAACAACTTAAGACTTATTAACTTCATTTATAATACTCTCTTCTCTTTCGATATTATTTATTTCATATTTTTTTGTATGTTTAGAATTCATCATTTGGATTAACATGTTCAATATCCAGTACTCCACCCAGCTTGCTCTGTAAATAAAACATATATATTTAAGTATTTACAAATAATAAAAATACCATGCTTATAATAAATATATAATCAGCTTACCTTATCGACATGTCCGAAGTCACGACTAACACGGAGTAAAAATGGCTTATCCGACCTAGGGGAGCAATGCTGTAGAGCAGCGACAGCTGCCTTGATCATATTTCTGTTGACCATTTCGCAATCGCAAATTTTAAGTTTTTGCAATTTTTTGCATCCATTAATCACCATAATGGCTCCTCGGTTAGTGATTTTCGAATTTAGTAAGCTCAACTCCTCCAGGTTCTCCAATTGGGAGATATCGTGGAAACAATCATCACTTTCCACCGGCAACTCGAGCTTCTTAAGAGCCTTAAGCTTCATTAATATCCCGATTTTATCAACATTGAAGAAAAAATAGCTATTTGCACGAAAACTCAGCGACTCCAAGGTCTTGCCATAACTCAAGACCGATTCCCCAAATACTTTGGAAGGATTCATGTTGTAATCGAAGGTGCTCCTAATGCACAAATGTTTTAGACTCGGTAAGTAAGGCAGCGGCGTTTGGAAGATCCCAGAGTTAATTTTAATTAATTCAATTTTCGGCAACAATTGTTCGTCACCAAGATCATTAGGCTTTTGGAAAACAGCGGTATTTATCTCCAAGCTTTTAATGTTCTTCAGTGATCTGCTGACTCTGAAGAAATCAATGCGTTCGATGTTTTGCATAGTCAATTTCGTCAGATTCGAAAGTTCTCCAACTCTTTCAACTAAAGAGGAATATAATGTTGTGAAAAATTGATTATGTTTAACTATGTATCTCGCCTTTACAATACTTACTAAAGTGATTTTCGACCCCGTATAACTGTAAGTGTTTCAGCTTGGGCATTTGCAGCAGCGCATCAACTACACTAACATTTTCAGAACAGTTCCGAAGTTCTATGTAAGACAGATTTTGAAGAGTCAAAAGGAGCGACTTTAATTGATTCCAGGAACTGCTGCAAACGCGAAAGCTGAACTTCTCCAGGTTGGGACAGTGCTTGGAGGCCAACTTGGCCGCAGATACAGGATCTGTATCCCTATTATAATAATTTAAGGCTCTGATGCTGTTAACAGAGGATCCACACAGCGACAAAATATCTGACCAATCCTCGATTGGCCGTTTCTCAATTTCGATTTCCTTAAAAATATTGCCGGCGTGAAAGGCGAATGCCTTTCCAAGAACGCAATGAGATTTTGCCAGATTGAGCTTATCTCTCATAACCGGAATGTACTTGAAAACCAAACCCAAAATCTCTATTGGAAGGTTTATTATATCACAATGGGACGACATTTTTACTAGCTCTGGATCAGATCAAGAAAATTTGAGATGAAGCCTTTAAAGTTGCACAATAACTAAATCAGTTTCCCAAAGCCTGCTGTCAGCAAATTTGAAATTTCACTGTGAACACTAGATCAAGGCAGTCGCATTTTCATTTTGTAGCTAATTTAGAGAATTTTAGAATAAAATAGCTATTTTTTAGCCAATTAATACTAAACAAAAATTGTTTAGCTTCTTTTTTTAATATCTCTCGTTTGTGTCTGCGAGAATTTCGGGGAAGTACACTTTTCAGACAAAATGATGCACTGCAGTATTTTTTGCTGATGAGTGAAAAAGAAAGAGAAGACTTTATATTTACATAAATGAAGTTTTTTTTTTACGAAATATGAAATATGTACATAGGTATGTATGTATGTACAGTAAATAAGCAAATTGTTGAGTCAAACACAATCGCAACCCGATCCATGCCATAATTTTGTTAGGGAGATCAATTCAAAGGGTTTTCTCCTTGCGTTGCATTAATTTAAAAATAAATCTATCGTTAAGTAATTATAATAAAACCGTCTCAAATATAAACTGTTAAGGAATTTTTTCAGTGTACTTTTGAGGCTCTGTTGCCTCAAAGTACTTACCGGAGAGCTGGAGAGTCACGCTTTCCCGCTGGCTAGCAATTTACTTGTCTTGGCTGGGGACGATTCTGTTGTGCCGCCTCTTGGCCAAGTAATGCCTAAGAGCCGGACACTCCATACATTGTACATATAACCATACATACATATGTATGTATATGTATATGAGCAGCATATTTCAGGCATTTTTATGGCCAAAGAGTCGAAGCATAAATACGGGACTAGAGGCAGGACAAAGTGTAGGAGGAAAAGGAACTCAATCCAAGGCATGTGGCGTTGTTTACGGAACAGAAACGTCCTGACCAACGGGGGTGCCTGACTGGGTGGCCCTTCTCCATATTCATCATCATCATCATCTTTGACGAAAAAATGCTACAAAAATGTTGATCGATTCGAGTTTGACTTTTATGCCCGCTGTGTGCAAAGATAGCTTTATTTGAAGAGTTGATTTACTAGAATATTTAGTGGAAAATAAAATTAAATAATCTATTATTTAATTTTTGTAAAGACTTGTTATAAATTTGTTATATTAATAATATTATTTTGACTTGTGTAGAATTTATATTTACTTCAGAAGAGCTTCAAGTTGCAATAAATAAAATCAAAAGAAAGAGCATCCGAATGGCGCCTTGGTATTTCCCCTGTTTATTTATCCTATTTTTTATCCTTGGCTGTTAATACTTTTTCGGAAGCTGACTAAATCATCAATCATTCCCGGTGGTCGTCCTTCATCTCCTTCGCGATGTCGTAGCGATTTTTCTCATACAAAAGCCTTATCAAATTTGTTTCAGCGTCACTGAAAGTTTCCACGTTTTGGCCCTAAATCGAAGCCAAGGATTCGGAAAGGAAAGTGCATTTCGAGCCCCAATTACTATATAAAATAACTAAAGAATCAGCTACTAGCAAATTTACGGTCAAACTCAACGACTTTGGACTTTTCGGCAATTTGCAAATGCCATGAAGTGGGATAAGACGAAGGAGGGTAGCTCTATGGAAATAGTTTTAGTATGCGAAAATGCCAAACGCTCGAGTGGCCGCAAAACAAAAATTGCGGAAAAGTTTTCAATTTGCCCAGCCAAGTATCGGGGAATCGTGGCAATCATCAAGGCAGAGGCAACAAAAGGGAAAATCATAAAACATAAACCAGAAACGGGAGAGAAACCAAATGGAGCGGGGAAAGTGCCTGAGAATGCTCAAGAACTTTTCAATTTGGTGGCAAAATTTGCGCAATTTCCTTGGGAGAAAAAGGGGTTTTCACACCCACCACGAAAGCTGCAAGTGTCAGTGGGGAAATTATGGATTGCTGGAAGTTGTTCAACCGCCTCTTCAGGGGTTTCTAACGATATTATTGCTCATTTAATTTAAGTGTGTAAGGATAACTAGCTCAATTTTGAGTTGCTAGTTCTTGAAGTTAAAAGTATTATTTTTTTATTAACAATTTAAACTATTCTTCATAGTTTTCAAGCAACAAAGTATGCACAATTTCCATTTGATCTTCGATTTAATTTTCTTTTAAATGTTTATTTTATTCTACGTTTAGTTATAATATTTTCACGTCTGGCACAATCCACCTGTTCTCCTCTTAAGAACATTTTCCATTTGGGTTTTTGTTTGGCCAACGTCATTATCGGGACTGATTGAGGTGCTAATGTATTTATAAAGCGACCCGATTGTATTTTTAGTTTCGTATGAAATTCGCATCCAACGCAGCTGGGCGCCTTTTTATCTGTTCATTTTCAGTGTCCGATTTATGAAGTGCGAAGCATTAATTTGATTTCGAATATAGCCGGGAATAAATTAGGTCAGAATGTGCACGATTTACTAGTCGATGCTTTGAAGTCTGCTCTGGAAATGTCTGAGAGCGTTCCGTCTATACATTATCCCCATGTTTGACTTTGAAAGTGCACAGGGAGAGAGAATGAAAAGGTGGAGGGACCTGTTTTCATAATTCAACTGACAGCCGAGTTTCCTCCATCAATATGGCTATAAGGTGTCTGTCTGCCCCCGCCGATGGATAAGTGCTTTTCCAGCTCTGCCCTGACCTTAAACTTCAACTTGATGGCTGTGAGATATGGGAATGTGTGTGTGTGTGTGCCCGAGGGCCATGGGGATGATTTCCATTGCCCTGCATTAAAAACCCTGCAGGTTTCCCCGGGCATATGGCCGGATGCATCAGCATGCAGCTCTGGCTGGCGGATCCTGGCTCTTGGTCTGCCTGCTAATGAAGTTCGGGGGCAATCAATATGCCACCTATGTACACGACCTTCTCCAAGAGCAACTAAAATCGAGATTGACTAGAAAAATGATGGGAAAACTTGAGGCACTGAGAAAAAGTAAAGAGAAAATATGAATAAAGGAAAGAGTGCTGGAAAAAGCAAAGGAAATAAGGAATAAAAGAAAGTTTTAAAGAAGAAAAATTCTTAAAAATATAGAGAATATAAGTAAAGTATTCATAATATGTTAAGATTTTTTATCAATTTTAAACTTATAAATTTCTAAAAGAAATATGTAATTATTTTTCCTTTTATCCCCCAGGGTCAGTGTCCTTTAATTAGTTTTCCTCACTTTCCTTTTAAGGCTCTTTGCGTCACTGCAATTTCCTTGCTTGTCAGTTAAAGATTTTATATTGCTTCCTTAACTTTCCTTTTATTTCATTTCTTTTTCTTGACCAGCTTTCATTGCATTTTCCTTTGCCATTTTCCCAGAGGCCATCTAGCTTCAAGTTACTAGTGTTTCGTGTTCGTGGACATTTGTTTTATATTGCTTTTGCATCCTGTCTGAGGATGTTGTGAATGGTCAAAAATGGTAGCACATTAGGCGAAGCATGAAAATTGTTTTTGTTTTTATGTTGACAATTTTCCTGTTGTTTGTCTCAATATCAAAGCGAAATCTTTATGTATTTCTATCTTTCACGCACGACCAGGCAAGGGGGAGCGAAAAAAAATGAATTCAAGATAAACAAAAGTGTTTCTTGTGGAAATAAACAAACAATTATTTTTTATCCCTGTTGAAAAATGCTTTTGAGTTGTGTGAATTCATTTAAAATAATGTTTATTTCAGTATCCATTTTTAAGCACTTAAATTCCACTTACATTTATTTTTTCGAGCAAGCAATTCTTGCTTCCAATCAAGTTACACTTAAAATTGAAAAGTGTTACACATTAACCGTATGGGTTCTCTTACATTTTCCTGTATTTCTTGGACAATTATTAAGTACACGTTTTGAATAGTTTGTTTTAAGTACTGATTAGCCTAGGTTTACTTTCAAAAGTACAAATACATTCGTGTGATTTCCCAAAGATAATTTTGGCTATTGTTTACATTAGCCAAGTCAATGATAAATTCCGGCATTAGTTTGCCCAGAGTTTGTTTAAAGGGTTCACTTTTGTTTTGTTTGGTTGTTTCAACTATTTCGGGTTAGGCAAACAAAGGAGAGGAGTGTATATTTATTTGCCGGCGGCTGCTTATCCTTTCGACACTATTTAATATTTATGACAACAATTCAAGTGCATTTTTATTACTTTATTAGCATTTATTGAATTCGATTATCGTCTGGTTGAACGCACAATAGAGTTAATGCCCGCAGATGCTCAAAAAACGTTTAGCTCAATGTAAATTAAAATATACACGGTTAATTAAGCATCATTTGAGATTATTTTTATGAATTGTTATGCAAATTTTCCACTCTTTTTTTTTTGGTTTAACTATTTTCCATTACATTTTTTATTTTTACAATCACATTTCAATTTAATTCGATTTGTAGAGTTTATTTAGTTCTTTTTTTTCTGTGAATACTTTGCTCGTTTTATTTCCCATGGAATTATTTGCATTTCTGGAATTATTTCTGCGTTTTACTAGGGTTATGGGTGACTTCTTTAAAATGATATTCTATTTGCCACTCTTCAAAGTCTCTTTTTGAACTCTAAGATTAAATCTTTGGCTTACTTTAGTAGCTAAACTAACGCCCCGCCCAGCATTTTCTATTATCCAAGTGCTCCACAACCAGCCACACCGACTTAATCTAACTTTAAGCAACTTTAAAAGATTTCACAAGCTTAGCCTAGCGGAGTATGTAAATTGGAAAACGACAATAAAATTATGCACACTTAATAACACGGAAAACTTATTCGAAGGCTTATTTTATTAGCAGGCCAATGCGAAAACGGAGAGAGTTTTATGTATTTCATGGGGTTTTATATTATTTTTTAATAGCATTAGTTTATATGGTAATTTTTGGAGAACTTGAAATTAAATTTTTAAATATTTAAAGTATAAATCATCCAATTTATTGTTCAGTTTAGAAAGTTATAGTTATTTCTAAGCTACACTCTATTTCATATTCATTTGACATTTACTTTTACCATTTTTTAATTTTAAAATATTTAAGAAAATATTTAAATTACTTTTATAATTTCTTCCTCTTAAACTGAGATTCCTTAAGGTACAAAAAACCTACAACTATTCTCCGTTCTCGCTTGGCTCTGACTCATCCATACAAAATATCATTATCCACTGGAGGAGGCTTAACCTACAGCAGGCACTCCGACTGCCTGTGCAGCAGTCGACGATCCAGGACCGTGTCCAGCTCCAGCTCCAGCTCCGGCTCTAGATCGGCCTGCACTCACCTCCTGGCGATGAACACCACCGTTTCCAGGGGCATCGTCGAAGCCCGCTCTTATAAGTCCGTGTGCAGCACCGGCGGCTTACAGGAGTTGGTCTCCGCGTTCACCACCAGCAAGGTGGCTGCTCCCGTTCCAGCTCCCGCTTGGATCTCAGCGGGAATCTGGTGAACGGACGGCTGGACACAGGTCACGGCATCCGTGCCCGTCGTCGTGGTGGTCGTCGTTGTAGTGGCTGTGGCCATTGGAGCATTGTTGTTCCTTGCCGCCGCCAAAGCCTTCTTCTTGGCCTGGGATCCTCGCTGGGCATTGCCCTTGCCACCCCCGCCGCCAATTAGCCTCTCCGACTGGCGTCCCTTGCCGAACTTGGGGAAGAAGCTGTTCTCCAGCTGCAGCTGTGCGTTGACATCCTTGCGGGCGGCGCAGGTGCAGGCCTTCATGAAGCTCTTTTTGAAGTTGTCGCTGAGGAAGGCGTACAGGATGGGATTCATGGCCGAGTTGGAGTAGCTGAGGCAGCCGCAGGCCAAGAACACGGCCAGCTCCAGGCGAGAGGCACACCTCTGGGGCGCCGAGCTAATCAGGGCCACCTGGGAGATCCAGTGGGGCAGCCAGCACATGATGTACACCGTGATAACGGTGAGCACCAGCTTGGTCACCTTCCGGTGTGACCGCTTCTTCTCCTTGCTCTTGTGCTTGGGCCCCACAGTGTGCAGCTTGCGGATCACCAGGCAGTAGAAGACCAGGATGAAGGTTAAGGGAGTGGCAAAGCCCAGCACTAGAGAGTACAGGATGAAGGTGGAGTCCGTGTGCGAGTTCTGGGTGTCTGGCCACTCGATGTTGCAGGACACATTACCATTGCGCGACTCCACCGTGCTTGCGAACAGGATCACTGGCAGCATCAGCAGCACCGAAGTCATCCAGGCGAAGGCCGACACCAGCTTGGACACGAAAGGAGTGCGGTAGCGGGGCGAGGATATCGGATGACACACGGCTATATACCGATCTGCTGACATGATCAGCAGGAAGATCGAGGAGGTGAACGAGGTGATCGAAGTGCTCACCATGTACGCCTTGCACATGTAGTTTCCAAAGGACCAGTTGCCCACCTGCATGGTGTACAGCAGGAAAGGTATCCCTATGAGAAAGCACTCATCCGCTATGGCCAGGTTCAGGATGTATATATTCGTGACCGTTTGCATTTTGGAGAAGCGCAGCACCACATAGATCACCAGGGTGTTGCCAAACAAACCAATGATGCAGACCAAGGCGTACAGGATCATCGTGATGAGCTTCAGGATAAAGTTGTAGCTGTACGAGCAATCCGGACCCACATCATCGTCCTCGTAGTCGGGATACTGGCTGCTGCCATTGTCCGGCGGCGGTCGCAGCTTGTGGTTCAGGTGCAGACGCGTCGCCGGCGGCCCCATTGTTCCATTCGGGCCCGACAGATTGCCGTTTATGGTTTTGTACAAGTCCACAGAAAGGGACTCCAGCTCCTGCTCCTGCCCCTGAGTGGTTCCATTTGGCGCCACTGTCAGCTGCTCTGTGGGCGTTATTAAGCTCGTTAGTGTCAGCGCTGTCAGCACAAATAACAGAATGCCAGAAAGGACATTGCCGTTGGTCGCGATCCTGATGCTGCCGCTGTTGCTGCGGTCAGCAGCTGGCCCATTTGGTCTCGAATATCCTTTCATATCGCCCCACCGTCGCCGCATCCTGGCCCCTCTTTTACGGGTCCTGGGTAGCTGCAACTGGTCAACGGTCTCTTGCTAATTTCCAGTCGGCGGTCGGCTGCCTGTTTGATGACGCCTCAACCAGCTAAATGGCAAATATTTTGATATTCTTTCCATACTTTATGCCCGAGAGTTCACATCCTGTGGGTATGTAGAGGTTTCTGGAAAAAAGGAAGAAATGTGGTAGTGATTAGTTACTGCAAAAGGATTTTAGCTGGAAAGGTGAACAGTGAAAATAAGACAGACAATATACCTATGTATATAACCCCCAATTTCCCTCAGTGTAAACTCTAGTCCATCCTTAGCTAAAACCCTAACAAGCGCGTATTATTTACTGACAATATTGAGCGCATGCTATCAGCATTTCGAGCCAGTATACCCCATACCCAGTGCCAGTGCCACTGCCTCTGCCGTCGTGTGAACATCTTCCAGCAGACAATGCAATCAACTATATGAAATTCTGCTCGTTTGCTTGTTTGCCTGGCTCCTCCAGCTCCTCCTCCTCCCCCTTCTGGCCATTTTCCGGCTCGCGAAAAAAATGATTCTCCATCTGGCGAGTGAAAAATTAAAGGCGAAGGAGGGACAGGAATAAGGGAAAAGCCGGCGGAAAGGAAGGCAACACTACAACAAAAACAAGAGGGGACAAAAGAAAGAGAGAACATGACAGCAACTACAAGCAATTAACTTTCACATAACGTAAGCCCAAAGGGATGGAGCGTAATTCATATAAACTCAATTTATTGTTTGGTGCCAGGACCAGAAATATAATTAAATAGAATTTGAAATGAGTCAACAGTTTGAAAAGGGCCTGCAAATGAAACTGAAATATTGGTAAGTGTCTGAGAAAAGGAAGGACCTAACAGGTAATACAACTTAAATATAATATGTATTTTATAGTTCTAAAAGCCAAAAGAGGAAACCAAAAGAAACTTCTTTTATTGTTTCACTTTAAAATATGATTTTAAATTCTTATACCATATTTAATTATTTTACATTTATTTATTTATTTAATAATATCTAAATGTATCTGAATTTGCAACTATCTTACCCCATTAAAAAAACCTGTCCTAATTTTACTTGCAAAACGTTTCATATCAGCACTTTCCCTTTTGCCAACTTGGAAACATAATTAATAAGCAATTTGTTTTGAGGTTCCTAGAGAACCCCAGGCATTTTAGTGGGGTTTCCCCCATGCTCTACCGACCATATGCCGGCGAACAGGAAAACTTTGAGGCCAAGAGCCAAGAGCAGGCCACAAAACATATATTTACTTGTGCCAGGAGTACCGATGAAGGCCACAAACTTCTCGGTCAGTAGCCAGGCAGAAACTTTTGCAGACATTTGCAAACAGGCCAATAAGAGACGAAGCCAAGTTTTTCCTCCCTTCGTTGGCCAAAAACCCGACAACAAGCCAAGGCCGAAGACTGAAAGGAAATAGCCTCAAGGGAGGCAAAGCCTGCTCCTTCCACCGCCAAGACAAATAGAATTTCCCTGATTAATTAATTGGCGTAATCCTAGTTAGATAAACTGCGTGAATTGCCGCGAAATTTATGAGAGCTGCTGTTCCTTTGGCATTAACTGGGTCAACAGCAGCTGGGCCTAATGACTTTGCGACACGATCGTGTTAACCTTTTGCCTGCTTCACCAGGCTTCTGTCAAAAGGCCCACAATTAGATTGAATGCAGCTGCTTTGATGGTGGCCATGTCCTAATTGAGACACTGAGAGAAATATAGGAAATAATGGAATTAAATGCTAATTTTTTTACATTTTTAAAACCAATTAATTTAGTCTGCGGGAGCCAGTTACTTTATATCAGAAAATATTATTATTTTAGCTATCAATAAATTTTATTTTATTTTCTCTATAAAAAAATTGGATTTCTGTAGAGGAAAACATTTTTATTTGATTGTAAAAAATTATACCTTTTCCTAAGAAATATAAATTTTTCTCAGTAAGCTTTCTTGTACCCTTTACACCTTGATTAGCCAGACAGTTACTCCGATAATTACACCTGGACAAGAGGAGAAAGCCAGGCTCTGTCAACTGTCTGTGTCCTGCTGCCTGCTCCTCGTCACACGGCTGCTGCTCTTCCTCCTGCTGGCCGGTACAAACAAGGATAGCAATCAATTGCTAAACATTGACGATGATGGCACCACCATCCATTCACCCCCCTTACCAACCCAGAGCAAAGTCCACCCAATTCGGTGCTCCACACAAAGGCCATAAAACGCTTGACTACCAATTGATCTGGCCAGTGGAGCAGAAGATATGAGTTTTCGGAGTGGGCGTGGGTTCTGGCCAGAGGCCACCGTTATAACCAAGTGACTGATGAAACTATAATTGGCAGACCTGTGTGGGTCTTAATGAGGAAATATCGCATTTTTCGTGCTAGGTCCTTTGTACTTTTCGGGGAAGGTGTTGGATGAAAGTTTAGTCAAGAATAAAGCTTCTCCTTAAAGTATAGTAAATTACTCTTTAAGTTGATATTTTTCTTACCTTAAATAAATACAAAATATCTCTATCTTTAAATCCTTATCAAAAAACTCCAACGTTTAACCTTTAAAAGTGAAACTCAGCGTGGAAACTCTTGGCTCTGATCCTAGTCAATTTTCATTCTTATTCAAATTTGATGCTGCTTAACAAAACTTTGTTAAACTCAGCGAAAACTGAATTGAAGAACCTAACGAAATTTAATGGAATTTCTTTTTTTTCGCTTGAAAAATATCTTTTGTTTTCAGCGCCTTTGTTCCACCTGAGCACCGTGGCGAGTAAACTTTTAGCTGTTATCTTTCTCACTCATTGGCCAAGTCATTGTCATGCATAGAGTTTCCCTCTCTATCGCTGGCCCTATCACCATCTCTCTTTCCCTTTGTCTTTGGCATAAATTTTCACTTCTGTGAAGAGAGAGCACTCGGCATTCCTTTTCAACTTTTCCTCGGTTGATTTGTTTTTCACAGCAGCAGCTTCGCCTAATTCCCTGACTTTTAGCCAGGCAAAAATCAACACACACACACATGACCTGTCGATTTTCCACTGCGGAAGCCATTTGCTTAATTAAAAATTACATATATTCAAACTGTTGTGCAACACTTGAACCGAAATAAACGCCAAATCGGCTTATGTCAACCAATTTAATTGGTAAATGCACAAAAATAGCTAGCATTTCTCCCATCACTCCACATTCCCGGTGGATTTGGGGGGGGCCTTTTAAATCATATTTCCACTTGCAAATATGGGGCGGTGAATTAGCCCGATTGCCTGACTAATTTGTTTGGTAAGCTCTTCTATCTGGATTGAATTTCCCCGGTTGAATGTGATTAAGAGCCTCTGCATCCAATCGAGAAGGAAAATTAATTTTGAAATGATTTTATAAGCACGTTGCGCCGAGAGCTAATGGAATGGGATTTATTGGTTTTTTATCTTCTAATTGATAGCTGGTTTTCTAATTAATTAGTGTTAGTGTTTAATGATTTAGGTGCCACTAAAGGTTATTTTATATATTTTTTAAAAAGTATAATAGATTACGTAATTGTTTAACTTAACAACAAAACCCACTCTCCTTCAACCAAGTCTAATTAGTTTTCTAATCTTTAATTAAGAAAATTCTACTCTCCTGTAACAAGAAAATATTTTTTTTTTTAGCTTTCGCTAAGTCCCAAAAATATTGTTCCATTATCCTAAAATATTTAGTGATCAAAACTTTCTTTTAGGCAGAGTTACAAATACAAATTTCCAAGTTGGCAAAACTTTCTGCCACATTTTCATCTCACACATATGTTAACTTTAGCCCTAACTCGCATATAAAGATTCTCACCTGGCTGACGCCTGGCGAAATATGTTGCCATAATTTATGTATTTGCCCTCCGACCCACGTTTTCCACTTGATTCCGGCCAAAATGTCCGTATGAGCTCATCCGTGCGGCGGCGAGGTGCTCACGTTCTCACCTGGTTTCCGGAATCTGGACTCCCGGCAGGGTGCTGGATCCTCCAACGTCATTGTCGTTTGGCCAGGTCATGATTTATAAATAATTAAATATTTATTTTCGCACATCGTAAATGACGCTGGCAGGCATCGATGAGGGTCTGGTGTCGGGTGACGGGTCGGGAGATTTGTTTTGTGGCCCCCAAACCATATGCTCATTAATATTAATAAGGCGATGTTAGCGAGCAGCAGATGGCCTGAACCTGCGACACCGGGTTTCCCACAATATCTCTCCCAGTTTTTCGCCCCGCCCACCTCAACAGGTGACTCCGCGTGCACACGTGTCGCCATCGCCTGACGACGGCCTTGCCTTTGCCCCCGTAATCAAGTCAAATGCCATCGACTTGGCCACAGAAAGTTTCAGTTGGGAAACCTAGGACCCCGGGGCGGGGCCAGAAAACCTCGGCTTGAATCCAATTTCCATTATCCAATTTAACGCCGGCATGCGCGCATAAATAAGCCTGGGTGGCGACTGTGATAGAGATCCCGGACCTCAACGGGATGATCCCCGAAAAGTGCTTTGTTATGCAAATCTCAGCGAAAAATAAAGACGGAATAATATCAATCTTGTACTTAGCCAAGCTTAAACGTTCATGTATTTTATGAGAAGAAAGTTCTGTTTCTGTTAACTTGAAGTAAGTTAAAGTTAAAGAAATTACAGTGAGTAAAATAAGAAAAATAAGTAAATTAAAACCGAAACTTATGTGGAATTCAATCTATTTAAATTTCTTATAAAAATTTCCCTCTCAATCATTAAACCATATTTTTTCCTCAAGATAATAAAAGTACTTTTCTTTTCTGACATTACGATAATTACCTGGGGCATCCCTTTAGGGCAACAAACAATTTCCACGAAATTTGTTTCTTTCAGCTTTAAGCAAAGGTCATGGGGAGGAAATTATCTAAGGACATTTTCGATGCGTTCCCAGAGTGGGATATTGAAATATATAATTTATTATTTATATGTAAACAACAGAGGGAACAACGACGACGACGAAGATGAAAAGAGACAAAACCAAAGACAAAAGCGAACGTTTACCAGTTTCATGAATTTTTTACTGAAACCAGAATAAAGTGAACGAAAACAAAGGGAAATGCTAAAGTAAAATAAAACGCCTACATGAAAGACACTTTGTTAGCTTTGCGAAGGTCGCAACACGCCCCCCATGACCACGCAG